AGTTTGTCTTGCCAACTCACCCTTAGCGAGTTTGGTAAGCGCGGCCAGAAGAACCAACATTGAAAAATTTCCGGCCATTCCTACGCCACCTAACCGGTTTTTTTTTCACTAGGATCGACCCACAATTGCTTGGGAGAAATATCCACACACTTGCATCCCCTTCATCGCCGTTTGTGGAAGGTGCATGATTTTTTTTGAGGGCAATCCTTGTCGGCTCATTGTATTATTTGGAATACATGTTTCTCAATAATTCAAGAGTATTATGTTCCACAGAATTGGCAGTGATATAATCCAGGATCAAAACAAGCCACATGAAAAATTGGCAAGAAAGATCCCTGATGTTTTGTTCAGTTCGTGCAATGCCGTTTTTTGACAAATGAAATGGCAAAGTCGAGTATTTGTAGTGCGTTGCATTTTTCAAGCCAAAGGGCTCAAGACCCCAGGCTCGCCGAGGCTTGGGTCGCGAGGCTTCAAGGGCGGTTCAAGGCTTGCGCCTAAGGTCGGGAAAGCCAAGATTTGTACTTTGAACCTTGCCTTGAGCCAAGCCTTGAGCCGAGCATCGCGCCTCAGACCTAACTGAGCAACCTTGAGCCCAGCCTTGAGCCGTGAGCGAACCAAGCCTGGAGCTTTGATAAAACCTAGGCTCGAACCTCAGCCTGAAGCCTGGAGCAGTCTTGACCCTTGAACCTGGAATCGAGCCTTCCTGTAGCATGTGATTTTTGGTTAATGTTGGAAATTTCAAAAGGAAAAAGAATTTGGGTTTTCCAGCGTCAGCACATCATCCAGCTTCGTTACATGCAGTTAACAAGAGATGATGGCTTCCCAAAAACGCGTTTGCTCTGTTTATTGGCGGCAAGCAAAAACAGTGATTCAATCAAATCACCCAACAAGCTAACCAATTCATGGAATGATTGCCAACATATGAGCCACTACCAAAGTTGATTCAAGGATTTGCCATCCAGATTTTTGACAAACAAAAGCAAACATATTTTTTTCCAGATAAAGGGGCCTTGCGAGGCCGAGGTCCAAATGAGAATCCACGCTGTGATGACGCCGCGCCATGTTGCCAAAACTAGATATTGGTTATGAAGCAAACTTCCTGTAGGTAATTTCTTCGCCGGGCATGATATGATATTGAGAAAACATGGCTGAAATTGTTCCCTGGGGGTACGTTCTGATTGG